CTCTTCTCTTCTCTTCTCTTCTTTGTCCTCTCCTCTCCTCTCCTCTCCTCTCCTCTCCTCTCCTCTCCTCTCCTCTCCTCTCCTTTCTTTTCCTTCCTATTTTGTGTATCTTGTTTTGGTATTTCTTACTATTAAGTTGGAAGTCTACAAATTCTAGTTTAACGGTCCCAATTTTGTGGCCTTTCAAAATCAGGAGGCTTTGCATTTGACTCACTATGGCATCAGTGCTTACAAATAAAGGAAACTATAAACATTGCAACATCCTTAATTGCTTTGTTTCTTTGGAGTTTTTTTTTTCTTTTGAATTAGAAGAAAAAGTGACTTGGGTTTGGCAATATTGTTTCTGAATGTTATCTGCCTCTTCCCACCCAGCATAGTTCCTGGCTATGATTTAGCGCTGGCATATTATTTAAAAAAAAAAAAAAAAAAAAAAAAAAAGGCGGGGGGATATTTCCATGCAATGCAATGTCTCATGTAGTTCACTTAAGGGTAGAACAGAAAGAAAATATTCCATTTTTTGTCAGGTTTTCCCAGTGGCTTCTAATTATGACTGCAGTCTATTGCAGTACATTTCAGAGCTCTCGCTCTCTTTGAAAGGACTGCTGTGCTTGCTTAGAGTTCTGGTGACTTTAGCAGCCACCTCCTCGTAAGCAGTCTGCCAACATGTGATCGATTGCAGTGCAGAGGATTTAGTTAAGACTGCAGCAGGTTTAGACAGTGGGTACTTTATAGATGTTGGAAACTATCTGGACTCAACAGAATTAAGTTTGCTATATAAACACCTTTCTCTTCCTCCACCTTACTTTCACTACCTTACAGAACAATTTGGCCCTATGTGAAAACGTAAGAGTTAATTCCTTCTCATTAAGGGCAGAGAACCAAGTTCAAGGTTTTAAAAGCACATGGGTCTCTAGTATRCTGGACTGGTGTGTTCTTGATTAGTCCCTTATCAGGATTGCCACTGAGCTGTTGAGTGGCCTTGGTCACTTGTTTGTTCTTTCTATGCCTTAGTTTCACATTAAAGAGGACATTGATTTCCTTTCAAAACATGAAAGAATGGGGTAAAAGAAGCGCCATAAGAATAGATATGTACTTTGTCCACAACATCAGTAGAGTCACAACTAGACTGTGAAGTGCAAATTTCCCTCTCTCACAGTTCTCCCTCCACCACTTCCAGGTATTCTTTGAGTAATTAAATTTTACTAAACCTTCTAGCTGTGAAATGTAGACTATTAGCCAGTTAGTAGACTTTAGATGACTTTTTAATGAGGAAACAATGTCCTTGAAAAATGTATTATAAGCTCTGGCAGTAATTAAGCTACCACTTCAAAAAGTAATTGTGGGATAACTGGAAGGTAGGCTTATCTCGCAAAGAATAAATGGAAAAATTCTTTAGGACCATATTATTATAAGGTTAAACAATGTACAGAAATGGAGAAACAGAGTTTCAGACAAAGACTTCCATTTGTTTCCTTTTCCTCCTTTCTGCTCTCTGCTAAAACTCCACCACCCTGGTAGTTTCAAGACTAATGATCCCTCAAATTGCCTTTGAAAAGGGATTTTTCATTTTCTTTTTCTTTTCGGTCTTTTTCCTTGACATTTACTAGGACTAAGTCTGCATTTAGTAGATAGCCCCATATGCCTTCATAATACATGGCAGAGCAGAAAGTATATCCAAATCAGAGTGTTTGCTCCCAGGAGGGCAGAGGGCTAGTGACTGAAAAGTCTACCACAGCTGTCTACTTCATGCAGGAGGCAATGAGTTGTGCAAGTGTTAGACTATAAATCAGTAAAATACTGTATTTCATAAGAACAAGAAAGAGCCCCGCATTAAGCTCTCATCAAAAAAGCAGAAAGGATTTCTGAGGAAATGAAGCTTATATTTTAGATGAACGTCAGTATCTTTATTAGCCATGAAATCAGCTTAATAGAGACGGAAGTACTATTCAGTGCATATGACAGTGCCAATACCAGAGCCAAAGAGGGTAAATATTTGTTTGTTTTTGTTTTTTAAAAAGAATGTAGAACCTCTCCAGAGCTACAGATGCACAGAGACAGAAAGAGAAAGAGTGAGTTCTCTGAGAGATAAAGAAAAGACAGTGAACAGGATGACAGATTTAAGGTGTTGCATATACAGCATTAAGAGAATTAGGACAAGCAGACAACATGGAGACATTCCCCTATATGTTTTGAAAGCAATCTGTTCTTGTGCCTAAGCTGCTGATAAATTTCCTTGCTGCCAATTACATTGTAAGGAATGTAGTTGGCAACAAGATCTGTGCCTCATTGGCCCTTATAAAGGACAGTCTTTGTGCCCAAATGACGTTTCTGAACAAATTGCCCCCTGATGACCTTGCACAACTCCTGTACCTTAAGGAAGGGAAGTCAGGCTGGAGCCTGAAGTGTCTACAGATTGAATCTTAAGGGATAGGTGACGCATAAATGAGTTGGGTTTTACATTGAGCTGAAGCACAGAGGAGAGGAATAAGAAGAGTTCTTTGTAGACAGGAAAGAGATCTCCTGACTACGGAAAACCACCAGGAATTTACAAGAAAACTATCAGATCTTAGTGGTGCTCAGCAGAACAATCCTTCTTAGAGGCATGTTTCTATTCATTTTCAGAAAATGCAAATTAAATATCACCCCGTGGGCAAGTTCAAATTATAGCATTCACCTTGTTTCACTCCCWTGATGGGCACTTCACTCCTGTGAGGTCTTTGGCACCAGTCTCCAACTTGGCCCTGACATCTTTTCCCATAACTGTTAGTGACTGTCCTCAAACAGGCCATAATCCTGACCACAGTCATGGTGGGGCCTGCCAGTTTGGACCCAAAACACCACGAGAATACACCTCTTTTCACTAGAAGTAACTGCCCAGCAGTTTATTTCCCACCTGGGATATCCAAGCATGAAAATATGTAGATCTGGAGCAGCAGACGGTACATCTCTCCCGCACCAAAACCCTAAATCTCTGCTCTGTAACCCCAACCTAGGATGACAGAACCTTCATTTTAGGCACATTCAAGATCTGTTTCTTGAATCATCTGAATGTCCATCAATGGCCACTGAATACCTATTATCTTCATCTTAAACAGAGGACAGTTGACTTGTCTCCTACCTGTCCGGTACCCCGTGTTATTGAGATACACGGCGAAGGTCCGTGGCTCGTGGGTAGCCTGCCATGAGGGGGATGAGCAGTTCTCGTTGTTGGTGTAGACATTGTGGTTGTGCACATACTTCCCGGTGAGCATGGACGAGCGCGAAGGGCAGCACATCGGTGTGGTCACAAATGCGTTGATAAAAGAGGCCCCTCCGTTCTCCATGATCCGCCTGGTCTTATTCATCACCTGCAAGGACCCTGAAACAAGAGGAACTGATCACCTCAGGGCTACAAAGGATAGTGGTAAAAGAGAGTGATCAGCTGCTATTATGCCATAGAAGTATCAGTCCTCAGACATCAGCTTGTCCTCAGACATCAGCCTGGGTAATTCTAGGAAAAAAAGGAAACTTTCTGTATTATATTGCCAAAAATCCTTTCCAGGATTCCAGCAAAACTGAATTCTTTCTTTTCTTGGGCTTCAGTACAAAGATGAAGTGCAAGCAAGTCTAGAAATATAATGTTAAAGCTTCAGAGCTGTATCAAATTTGTAGGTCAGTAGTTCTTCAAACAGTGCTGTAGAAAAATAATACATTATACAGACTGTATCATTAGTCAATGTGCCAGTAAAATATGTGCCATTCTGAGAATGAATGTACTAATGAAGTCTGTTCCTTCTCTTTTATCAGATAATAATCTTTAATATTTACTCCATTTCTGACTGATGAATTCTTACAGTTCTTTACTCATGTGAGCAACCCTAAATTATGTAAGCTGATCCCCATTGATGCTGGAACTTCTCACAGGTGGACTATTTATAAAGATTTTTAAAAACCTCGCTTTCCAGTGATACATAATCTCTTAGAGTAATTAGTAGCATATTAGGTTTCCACATTAGATTTGCAAGCAAGAAGTAAGCGTGATGTAAGTATATACTTACCTGAGGCCAACAGAGAGTCTTAGACAAAAGAAAAAAAAAAAGAGAGAAAGAAAACAAAATTCTGCAATGATTTTCCTTGAGGAAAGTTTCTCTGGATAATGAAATAGCATGTCTGACTCTAGCACAGCATGCAGAATCAGCTTTTGGCTGTATATAAAAATATCAACAAAATATGGCATCCTTCTCAAGAACCTCTTCAAGAACCTCTTGTATTTCTCCTAAACATTGATTCAGTTTAGAGAGAAAATTTTATTTATTCTTTTTTCTCTGCCCTTTAAGACATCATAAGAGGTGAGACAGGTAGAGACTTTAGATTTTGGATTGCATAAAGACTCAGCAGATCCTGATAGGGACTGTCAGTACTTGCTAACAGCTGCCAAATTTGGTTCTTTCTGTCATACAGGGCAGTGACTGAAGGATGAATGCCAACTGTGGACATGAGAGTATGCACTCAGGAAACAAGTCTGTGAATTCAAATGCTTGCTCAATTTTGATTGTAAAAAGCTGTTTCTGGAATCCTACTTTCAATTTCTACTTTGGTTTTACAATTCACTTTACTCAGCTAATAAATTCAAAACGAAGTTTTMAAATCATGAAAAAAGTAGGTGTAGACCCTCCCCGCCCCCAAACTGCCGAGAAGTTTCAAGGATAGATGTGAACATTTAAAAACTTACAAGCTATACTCTCAAAGTTAAGCGTGTCTATTCTGTTCTGAGGCTAATGAGTCTGTACTGAATGTGATTTTTTTTTCATCAAAATTATTTTCTACAATACCAATCTCTGTGTCTTTAAAAGATACATTTTTTATCTTTACAGATACACCTAATACCATGAAGTCATGGTCATTTTGGACTTTTCCTCCTTCACAGTTCCTCTTTTTCAAATGCAGAGCACCTGTTCTTAGAGGCCTACAGAGCCAAATGTAGTTGGGAAAATGCTTTGCTGGGCACAATACAGACAAAAGCATGTGCTCAGAGCTACAGTGAAGTAGCAGGGGACTTTTTTTCCGCACAGCTGTCTCATTTCTGAAATGTCACACACAGTTTATTACACTGAAAACTCAGCTGCAAGGTGCTCGCAGGTCCTCAGGTGGAAGGTGCACAGTAGCGGTGCACRGATGCAGTAGCAGAGCTGATGTGTGCGTTCATGCCTCCCTGCATTATAAATGACTAGCTGTTCAAGCACTTCCCCATTCCTGTGCTTGGTCAGCCCTCTGTTCTTGCCAACCTGCTGTTTATGAGTAAGTTTTTCCTCCAAGTATGCACTTACTGACACTGATAATAGATATACGCCCTCAGGAAATCCTGGAATAGACACTTCAAAGCAGGTGACACTTCCTCATGTTGAATACGAAACACAAGTTGGAGAAAAAAATTGCGGATATAAGTTATGATCTGCTGTCTGTGGCTCTCCTTGCAGCTTGTGTGCTTTACCATCTGGCACACAGTCTTCAGGGCCTGACAGCAGGACACTTACATTCTGCATGAGCCATCAGGGAGGACCTGAGGGGAACCAAATAACTGGGAATGGCCAATACAGTCACAGAAATCAGTAAGTTTCACTGAACAAAAAATTCACCATGACCTCTCACTTCATTCTTCTCTTATGCTGAGAAATATATTTGGTAACCAAGGTTTCACAAATTCTTGCAGTTGCTATGGATTTTCAACCAGCTGTATCTTAGCTGGACATCTCTGTCTAYAGGGGAATGGCCACTAGAAAGATATCACCCTTATTTAAGGTCTGTGCAAAATCCCAGTRAGGTGATGGATTCTCAATTCCTGGAAGATATTCCCATTTTTCCATCCTGTCTTTTCTTAGTACTTTGAAAATTTTAGTGAACAAGAAGAGCAAACTAGGCAAATTATGCCTAATGTGGGGCTAGATGATGCTGTGAACATTTCCCCTCCTGTTGTACCCTTTGAACACTTTATATGGATTTCATTGCCTGGTGCATTAGGCCGCAAATATAAATGTACATTTCATTTATTTATCTATTTTGGATTTTTTTAACCTTTTTCCACCACTCCAAGTCYCAACGGATAGGTTAGAAAAACTGGACATGCCATATTTATTAGTTGTGACTCATTTCTAACATTGCACAAGATATTACTCACAGCAGGGATTATGAGAATGACTGGGTGGCCAGTGGCTTTGGAGACTGATGTGTGCAAGTATATGGGAGGAAGAAGGGATAGAGAATCTGGAGGACAGGGAAGTGAATAAAGAGTCATCAAAAAGTTTTAAGCATCTGTATGAATCATTGATATTTTGGAGGTCATTCCTCTGGTCTCTGGGAGCTGGGGCTGCTGCTCCAGAATCAAGCAGAGGCATGACAGTTTCTTCAGAGATGCTGCTGTGCAGATCTGGGTCCTGGTACCTTGTCTTGAGCAAGGCATCAAGTTGCCTCAGTTATTTCTTCACAAATGTCCTGGCCTGTATRGGAGCTGAAATGGAGTTGTGGAGCAGTATGTGGGTTTCATCTGAGGAGTTGTGTGAGGGAGCAACTCCTGCCAAACTTCTRCTTGCAGTCAGAATGCAAATTGCTGGTGGGATGGCACAGATCCATACAAAGATGTGCATTCCCTCATGTTCTGAGCTCTGATGAGAGCTCTTGAACACTTTCAGAAATTTTACTTTGGATATCTCCCCTATAGGACGTTTGCACTCAAGGTAGCTGACCATTTTGGTTCTGTATACTTCTGAACGCTCTAGAGACAAATCTTTCCTGATTGAAGTCTATAATGTGCCTTGTATGCTTTTACGTTTAAGTATTCACTTAGAACAGCTTTTAGAAAGGCTTAGGCTGGGAATACAATACCAAATAGTCTATATGAAGAGACTTTCAACTTTGTGTTTTTGGATAGCAAAGTCTGAACTTTATTCTGTTTGTGGTACAAAGTGTCACTTCCCACTGAACTTTGGGAAACCTTTTTCCTCAGCATTCACTCAAGGATGAGGTGATAATCTGCTTGTGGAAAGCAGAGTATGGCTTTGCATTTCAAAGGTGCAGAATGATTTATTTGTAAGAGTGTGAATAATCCGATACAAAAAGCCTGGGACTGAATCTTGTTTCCTAAGAAATGATCTAGGAGAAAGGGAAATCTGAATATTCTTCTTCAATGCAGCGAGAGCACATATGCATGCAGGCTCTTGCTCAGTTGGTTACTAATAGGAGCCACATCCTTCCTGCCCTCTCACCATCACCTTTCCTGCCCTCTCACCTCTTGCAAACCCCCCACAAGCAGGGTGAGGAGAGGCAGTCATGAGCATGGGAGCATCGCTGTGGGATGCACATTGCTGACCTACCTTCTGCACTGCCCTGGAGAACACAGGCGCTTCCTGGACACAAAAAAATTATAATAATACAAAAGAAGACATGGCTTGACCCTTTTAAAGGCATTTTCAAACTGTCTGCATGGAGAAGAAGCAGGTTCCTATTATAATGTCTGTATTTTAGGCCAAAAATAGAAGCGGGGCAGCCTTTCGTTATGTAGCGTGGCTAAATGGAGCAGACATCTGAAAGAGCAAGAAGTAAAATACATAAGATGTGCTCAGATCCAAAGCCCTGCCCTGAAAGCTCACTGCAAAAACTGCAACATAGGAGGATTAACCTTCAAAGTGGTAGCACAGTTTATTAACCATGTTTTCTCATTGGGGTGCGTAACCCCCAACCCTCATAGGGCTGCATAAATTATTATCACATCCTGCCAAATGCAAAAATGAATTGCTGGAGTTCCTATGAGAACTGGGCCATGTTTTTGCCTACTCTTTTCAGAACAAAAATATGTATTTTTTTGAAGTAAGTGAATGGTTTTGTTGCAACTTCTCTGGAATGAAGGATTTTGATTTTCGAATTTCATATGGCATTTTGTCTAGACATTCACACTACTTCTTTAAAACTATATCTGTCTCTAAAAACACYAAGAACTCATCTGCTGTTTTTTCACCTCTTCAGTCTCCTCTTCCCTACCCACCCCCCCACTCCTAATTTAAATTTTTGCTTAGGGGTAACCTAAAATGATCCTCTTCCTCTTCTTAATTTTTCACTTTGGGCAGTAAACCAGAAAAAAACAATTATATGCATAAACATCATTAATATCTTTCTAACTTACTTAATGAAAAACATTCAAAGGCCTTCTGGAACATCATTCAAGTGTTTAAATTTTTTCCACCCTGACCACCCTGCGAAAAATATGTGAAAATCACTTCTGGCTTCTTATATCCAGGCTGTGTTTACTTGTTTGACATATTTGTGAAAACAAAATTGTCTTACTTATGTTTATATATATAATAATTTTAAAACAGAAAGCTTTTAAACACTTTAACTATTGACAGAAATGTTAAGTTTATATCCTGCTGGCCAGTTTGTCTGTGTGTGTACACATGTCAGATTACACACATGCATATGACAACTATGTGCAGAATACAAATACTCATCTATACAGCATCAAGGCAAAGGTTAGCTTCATAAGGATCAAATTTTTACATGCTATAGAAAATCACAGTGCTGGAAAACATTCATAAGAGGATTTGATGCAAAATTTTTAATTTTATATGTACTTGCATGTGCTAGTAATCTATTTTATGGTGATCATTAAAGACTTTTGTGGAGAATTTTGATAAGCAAATATTTCCTAAATCTTGTAATCAAATCACATGAATACTATCAAACAATTTCCATATATTTATTTTCCATACCTGTCCCATATGCTGATACTGTTTCAGAACATACATGTTCCCTGCAAGTAAAACACTATTTGCATAGCAGAAATTACTGAAAGACCCAAGCAAGGAAATGAAGTAGCAAATAACAATTATTTCTCACCAAGCTCCACATCTTGATCGTCTGTGAGTACAAGTATAATATTTGGTCTGATATTTTTGCGCTCCTGCTGCACGCGTCCTCTGAACCTTGGGGATTTGGCAGTGGAGCCGTGGCTTGTGAGCAGCTCAGTACTGAGCACTGCCCAAAGGAGTGCAAAGCAAGCAGGCTTCATAGTATTTCCAATATTGCAGTGAAAAGACTGATCCAGGAGTGCCTGAACTCTAGTTTCTCAAGACCTGCAGGGAGGAAAAGAAAATCTATTCAAACAGYGCATGAGCTTTCACTCACACAGGGAAAGGAGGATATTTAGGGAAGTCARTCCTGACATGTGACACTGACCATGACTATAAACCCTACAGCTAAAAAAGAACTTTATATAGTCATTTGCTAAGAATGAGTTAACGTGGTCATTCTGCAGCTCTACTTTCTGGGTTAATTTTGGCTCGAGATCATGCCAGTGCCTGCATTTGGTGTAGGCAGGATGTCACCCGGCAGGTTCGTACCTCACAGGGCTCTTTGCCCACCCCCCTGCTCACGACGCGTGTCCCTCAAGCTCGGTACCTGGACACAGCGCAGGACTGCAGCGATGCTAAGGACGAGATGTGCTCAGCACATCTGCAGGAGGAGCCCCACAGGGAGGAGAAAGCAGAAGGCTCGTCAGTCAAGGACCTCAGAATGGCGACAGAGCTTCAAAGTCTCCAGAACCGCTCATTACAGCTTCCTGCTCTGTCCTGAAAGAACAAGAGGAGAAAAAAAACTGCTTGCATTCACCCCAGCTCAGTTTAATACTAGATCTATGCAGTGGTTAGCTGGCGTCTTGGCTGCTGGAGAAAAAGGACACGCATGTCGTGCCATCAAACACAGGTGCCTTTCCACCCTTCTAGACAGCCTGAATCCTGAGGAGTTAATTCCAGCGTGCGGCACCTGGAAGCAGCCCCTTCTATTTTCAGTTAACTCTCCTGCACGAGCAGCGGAGCCCTTACGGCACAGCGAGATGAGCGTGGCTGTCATCTGCAAACGGCACTGGATCACGATGGGAAAAGTCATGCTCTCCCTGACAAGAGAGCTCATATTATGTGACAGTCCGGAGGATCTTACCCGGCGCCGTGAAACAGCACGGCGGTCCCTCCGTCAGTCAGCAGCAGCACCGAGTGCCTCATCCACAATGCCCGGTACCCCTGGCAAAGCCTCGTCCTCGATACTCCTTGGCGCGTTATCAGAGCGCGCCGGTGCCTGTCACTCAGGCAGCCCTGCTCCTGTACACCCTGGTGCAGGCGCGCAGGCTTTGCCTCCCTGCAGCGCGCTGCAATCTGCAGCTGAAGGTGACGGGCTGGTCTGGGGAGGATGGGGCGGCCACTGACACTTCTAACGGTTTTGGCATGACTGGCTGCAGTGCTGTGWAACCATCATGTTGCACGAGGGGAAGGAGGGGATCGCTAGGGGCAAAAAAGGAAGAGGGTAGGAAAGAAACCAGAGTCATGCCTGTGCCCTCCGGGGTATAACCTGCCAAGCACATTCCTTCTAATTTTATTCTGGGGCTATGGATAAAGCATAGAGACACTGATCTGCTTAAAAAYAATCAATCAAAAAGCACCACGAAGCCACCCAAAACCTAGACCCAACTAGTTCAGGATGCCTGCATCTAGGAAAGTCTGCCTGGGCACTGTGGTGCACACTGCAAAATTACACTGGAGCATAATTTGCTAAAAGACCCAATTTCCCACATCCATGACTTCATATTTAGACATGCAACATTAACTAGTAACAGACAAATAAGAAAAACATATCTTAATGAGAACAACACAGAAGGAAAAGAAAGGGCCCACCACTCACCTGAAAACACCTCAATAGGAAGGTGCTCTAAATTGAGGGGCAAAGGAAGCATAGGAGAGAGGGGAAGGATTTGGTGCTGGACCGCCAGGAAAAGGATCTTGTTCTTATTTTCACATACACCTTTTATTTTAAGCTTCACAAGCTAAACAGTTTCATGCTCCCCACTCTGGCAGGCTGTAATTACAGGAGAAGTGTGAATGTCTTCTAAGCAAAAATCCCAAGGTCTGTTGCAGAGAAATCCTCTTACGGTGTCCCTGCACCAACCAGCGCCCCAGTCCCCGATCAGTGCAGTGGCAATGCCAATACAGGGCATCAGCAGGTAGAGCCAAATCCCATTTCAGGGACTACACAACACTTAGGTTAAGTAGACTGGATATCTGTAATCAATTGGCACTGAYTTTTAAAAATACTTCAGTTTCCACCTATTTGTTGTAACGCGCATAAAAACCGATAAAAGCACCGAGGAACAGGATTTCTTGAAGAAGTAAGCATTTTTTCAGACAAGCAACAGAAACCACAGGGTTTTGGTGCAAAAGCAGAAGATGCAATTTCTCTCAATGTCTGATCTTTAAATAGCAAAACTTTGACCCACCTCACAAAGCACAAAAGGATACATGAAGTGAGACTCAATGTTTAGTTTCTTACCCCGGCTGTACTGCACAGCAAACTTTTTCAGACAGTGTTGACCCAGAAAGTGCGGTCCTCCTGACTGCACTGAGCAAATATTGGCACCAATGTGTTTGAATATTCCCCAACAATATGAAGCTGCAAGTACCTGACAATTCAACCTCAGTACAAAAAACAAATTCACTAATCCAAGCTAGCATTAATAAGTTTTCTTCATTTCATCCTCTTCAGGCTATGTTTGTTTGTAAAAAAACAGTCCTTAGACAGTCCTTTTCTAAGGAAATTGCCTTATTTATTTTTTTCCCCTTGATAAGAGAAAGGAAAATACTAAAACTCATCTAAAAATTTAAAATAATGTATCCAAGTTTTATTCAACAGTTTTCACACAAAAGCACAATTATCCTGCCTTTCATTGCTTATAACAATTTCATTTTGTGTAAGACAGGCTTTTATTCCAAAGTGGTCTTTGTGAACTTGAATCCCTACAAGGTGTTTCCCAGTGCTGGAAAGAAATGAAGAAAAGAAGAAAATTGTCAGAATATAGACTTCACAGGAAAGGCAAGGCTGCAATGTATGTGTAGTCGCAGGTAGTCTACAGGTATCCCTAGAGACACTGTAATTTTGTCTTGAGAAATAGGAAAAAAAAAGAACAAATTTTAAAAAGACACCTTTTAAAAAATCACATAAGGAAGTAAATTTTTTTTTTTTTTTGTGCAATGTTCAGAAGTTAAGGTTATACTACAAACTGAGTTTTTCTAGAAGAGTAAATAAATAATGATCATAACTTCTCTTGAAGTTATYTGGAAAATTTGAGAAGATTTTTCCTATAGAACATACTTATGACAACTGAAATGTTGTCAGTAAATACAGGAAACCATAGTAGTAAGAAATCCAGAGAGACTACTTTTCTTCATCTGGATGTAATTTTTCTTTACAATATTTCTCTCTTTTTTTTCCCCTCTCCCACAGGAACACAAATTCATAGTTTGTACTCACCCTTCATGGGATAAAAACTGAAAACTTGGTTCTTTAGCTGGTCCTGTTCTGCAAGAACTATAACAGTTCAAGGTCTCGTTGGCATGGAGAATTAATTACCCATGAAACTTGAATTATAATGGCAGGGTACTGCAAAGAAGGGCTACGGTGCTACTTCTTGTGATGTGGAATAAAAACTAGAGGGACCTTATTGCTGGATCTCTTTATACAATATCCTTCAGTGACCAGAAAGAAAAAGGAAAGCTAGAATAATATATTTTAAATATTCTTTAAAAAATATTTGTTTTAATCAGGAAGGCTGTCTAGTCAGGAAGTTCGTGCTTTGGCTTTTAGTGTTTAATTAGGAAAACAACAAAAGGCAATCAGTTTTCAAAAAGAGCATTTCCCTTTGAAAATCCAYGCTGGTTTTGTATCTCCATTCTTAAGCATGTGCCCTCAAAATGTCATTTTGTGTTTGGCCAATAATAATCTGCCCAGAATCAGACACTTTGCATATCAATCTTGACCACTGAGTATCCCTAAGCATATTTACTTCCTTATAAACTTTAAAGATAAATGTACTTCTTCATATTTATTATTCTAGAAATAACATGGCTGTGAGGTGATCCTGCAAAGGCAAGTGAGCTTACTTTCATGTATTCTTACTTGCTTCTAAATCTGAAATAAAATGCAAGGACAATGAGTAAAAATGTTGGAYAAATGTCTGCTCCAATATTAAGGACTATGCAATATCCCAATTCAGTAACTTGCAACCAAAGTGTTCGTGTTTTCTTAGCACAACAAACAGTGACATTTCATAGGAAATGAAACCATGTGCTAAGACCTGCAGCCCTAGTGGCCTTTCCATAYAGATAAAGATGGATCTGCTCTGGCCAGGCAAGTGAAAAAATAATAACAACATCGACTGTGATTGTAAGCTTTAGAACCAGAATTCAGCTTCCATTTCCTCTGGGGTTATCAATAGCTGTGCCTGGCAAAGCCAGAATGGGAGCAAGGTTCAACAAGAATCCAAAGCCAAGAAACAGCTAATGCAGCGGCAACTGGGTGTTCAGATGTTCTCTTTCCCATTTTAATCATGGTGGTAGTAATCACGGTGGTAATCATGATGGTATCCTACAGATCATTTCTCTGAAGTACAAAAATTAGCACAGTTGTATGTGGTTAARATGTATAAAACAAATTTCCCAACAGTGCTATGAATTTGCACATAAATTACCAAAAGCACAGAAAATAAACAGAAGGCCTTGTCATTGTGGGTGACAAATTGCTTTAATTCTTCTCATAGGATTCTCTCATAAATAAGCAAAATAGCTCACACAATCCAACCTCAAATATTAACTGTCACAAGAAAATGGAAATTCAATCTTGACCCGAAGCATGAGGACTCCAAGCACTATCATTATAGGTATTTTGCCTATCACTAGGTGAGGTACCAGCTATTGGTTTGACGAACACCTTCGATGATAGGAATATGACCCCAGTGTTCTTTGCTTCCTTAAAATCAGCGTGTCCATAAGAAAAGCAGAATGGCAGGGGACAAAAAGTCTGGTTATTGCTAAAGGCAGTGTAGGGCATCAATGACAGTGTTCTATAATTATGACTTTGTGGTGGATACTTAGCTGAGTTTCAAAAATCTGACAGTCTGCCTAGAGGGACAGAAATTGCTCATTGGCACCATGTTGGCTTTACCCACTTGTTGGCGTTGGCTTTACTCACTTGTGTGCCAAGGAATGGCAGAATCAGTGGTTTATGCCAACCATTTTCAGTTCTTTGCTTTGAAGTGAAATGTATCCATCTAGCAATGCTGTTTTCCTCAGAATATTTTGCATATGAAGAAATGCAAGGTGAAAGGCATTGAATTTTTTTCTCAAGCACACACGCACAACTTCTGTGAATCTTTGATGTTTATGTGAAAAGGGAGATAGACCCTTTCAAGTCTCACATAACCTGAATTGTAACAGCTGTGCAGTTACAGATCCAAATAAAACTATGAAATTAGTTATTCCATGACAAATTGTGTAAACAGCTTGAAATTAAATAATCAAAGATCTATGAGGCTAGAGGTTCATTTGCACCAAAGCAAGCCAGGAGTTCAGAAGTCTTAAATCTCTCTTTAAATCATTTGGCCTTGACAACTAGAGGGTTGTAACACTCCGCAAAAACAATAACAACTCTCAGCTTCACTACTATAGTAAAGCACTTAAGTGAAAAGAGCTGTTGACAGATTACTGTTTTGAGTTTAATAATGTTAATTCTTTTCTCACGTCTTCC